GAGTTTGTTTCTTCATTAGATTTGGAGAAATGTAGCATTGCATCAGTGTCTCAGCAATGGATGCTCTGCAGTGAATGGGTGCCGTCAGAATGAGAGTCCAAACAGCTGATAAAAACACCACAATAATCCACAGCACTCCAGTCCATCAGTTAATGACTTGAGAAGACAAAAGCTGAAACAAATCCAGCATAAAGACGTTTTTAACTTCAAAACCATCGCCTCCAGCGAAAATATATCTATAATAATCTATAGTAGAGAGGGGCATTTTGCTAAATATATGCACCATATAATATATTCTTTATAATTTTTTACTGTCGTTCTTCAATTTTTAATTTATATTTTTTATAACGGCCACCATTTAAATGTTTATATTTAAAAAAAATAAAAAAACGAATTGAAGTAGAAATATTATGTAATTGTAACTTTTATTATAAAAACTTCCTTAAGTGTAATTTAAAATTGTATAGCCTAAAAAATCAGTCAGTTTTAACATAGTAATGTAGTACCAACTGATTCTCATGTAGGCCTATATTTTACAGCATTAGTTAAGAGAATTTTTTTCGTTGAGAAAATTTGGCATGTGTACCTGATATATATCCAAAATAATCAATATTGAATCGAATCGAAAGCTTGTCAATGAGAATCGAATCGAGAAATTTGTGTCATAACAGCCCTTGTAAACAGTGCTTGATCTGTGCAGATTTCTCTCCTGATTCAGACCAGAACACTTTTTCACTGGAGGAAACATTATTATGGACTCAGATTTTAGCTGGAAGCAACAGTTTGAAGTTAAAAACATTAATATCATCATGAATTTATGGATTTAATTGCACTCATTCCACTTCTGAGCCTCATTAAATGTCTGAAAGTACATCAAGCCACTTTTGTGTTCTTCTGTGCCACCTCTACAAATTAATTTTGTTAATACTGATTTCATTTGATTGGTAACTTATATTCCTTATTCTACTTGTTCTTATTCTGTCGTTTTAATTACAATTTTTAAAAAGCTTATAAAATATAATTTTTTTAAGAATTGACAAAAGATGACAATTTTAATAAAGTTAGAGGAGTCAAATATTACCTCGTAATGGGAAGGCTACTTTTTGATAAAATTTTGGATTATTGATTAGAAGGTGCTCCTAAAATTTTGAACGTGCTCCTAAAAAGAAAAGTAAGCGTCGAGCCCTGGGTGAGTAAACTGTCAGCAAATTTTCATTTTTGGGAGAACTATTCTTTAAAAACAAACCTATTGAAAGGGAAAACTCAATTATTTTTAACAATCAGTAGCACAGAAATAGTAGCACTATTCAAACCTGGAACTGATGCAACAAAAAACACTTAAAACCTCTTCAGCGGCTCTCAAATGATGTTTCATTGATTAAGAGTCCTCTGCTCCAACACGATCCAGTGCTGTATTAAGAATATGCCACTGACAACATCTAATAATCATAGCAAAGTGCCCTTCTGCGTTAATGAGATTCCTCATGTGTCGGTCCAATGCTGGAGCTGGAGAGAAAACAGCTGGATTGCCGAAAAATGAATTACATTTTGCTTTTTTTTTTTTTTTCCACAGAAAATCCAAGCAGCTTATGGTTTCCAGCTCCTGCAAATCTGCTTGATTGTTTTGCGTTAGCATGTAGAGCACTGCTTAGAGCATTGTGCATTGTTGGCATAACTATATATGAAGGGGTTTAACGGGTATAATGAGATTTTGCCTTTTTATACACACAACCCACCAAAAATGTTCAACGCTAACAGGCTGCATGTGTTTGAACATCAAAAACATGTATAAGAAGAGACTCAGATCTCATATCTGGTTATTTAAAAAGTAATTCAATCACATTCATTTAAAAACAAGTTTGAGCAACAGCTGTTGCACATTTAAAAACAACTGTTGTACAACTAAAGCAGACTCATATTGACTTACAGTATCTTGGGAGCTGTATGTGCAAACAATAGCTTTGTGTGAGAAACAGACACAAATTCAAGACTGCTTGCTAATGAAGCAATCCTGTAGCTCATCGATGCATTATGCATACATTTTTAAACTTGCTGCTTGATTCATGATGAGTCCGAACCAAAGCAGAGCTCAATATTACATATAAACAAACAGTGTCCAGTTTAACTAAATGTAAATACTTCATCTGGCACATAAAAATGCAATGTTTAAAACAATATTCTAATGACCATCTGTACTAATGGTTCAACTGGGTCAGAAGGAGAAAACATCTCATTGCAATGGCATTTGGAGCAGATGACATCAAACCTGCCACAAACAGGTGCAAGAATTAAGGCACTGTTTTTTTAAATGAACACAAAAGCGTATGAGGTTTGAAAGCTGTTGCAAAAGATTATCGATCAATAAAAACTTAATATCAGTCTGTTTCCCAAACAAAGATAACATACTGAATGATTTCAGAAGACTTAAAGGGGTCATATGATGCTGCTAAAAAGAGTTTTAGGTAGGCGTGGTTGACTCTTAACTTTTATAAAGAATATCTCTTTGGATTTGAGACTTTAGTCTTTGCAACTTTACAGATCTTCTTTATGCACCGAGAGCTTGTAACACTCCAAAGAGAAAGGAAACATTGAAATCGCATCATATGACCCCTTTAAAGCAACCAAGGCAGACTACTTTTATGATTTAGGCTACTTTTGGAGCACAACAACAACAAAACTAATAATGTAAAGGATTATATGCAGTAAATATTACATACAGTATACAGTAGTTATTTTTGCACAGTATTAATTGTATTAATATTAATTTTCAATATAAAATTAAACATAATATAAATGTAAAAATTGTATGTATATTATACAGTATTTTTACCAACTATTATTGTTAATAATAATAAAATTAGTATTATATAATACACAAATAAAGTTATATAATAATAATAATAATAATAATAATTTATTATAATATTTATTATTACACACACACACACACACGTACATATATTATACAGTATTATAAATGTTACCCAGTATTATTACTATTAATAATAATAATACACAAATATAAGGTTATATGATAATAAAAAAATTAAAACAATTATTATATAATATACAAAAAATTATATTATGATGATGATAATAATGATAATGATAATAATAATAATGAAATCAATAAAAAATAAAAAATGCACCTGTGAGAAAAAATGCACCGTTTTTCATGTCACACCTTCAAAACAATAAATTATTTATCTATTTGAATAAATCCTATTACATTTTATTAACTGTACAATAACAATATATAACAATAAAAAAAACAACACTAATCATGATCTAATGAAAGACACCAGGAATAATGGAGAATTAAAAAGAAAATATAATAATAATATTTTTAATTATGCGAACTTGGATATTTTGGCTAGTTTTCTTTATTATGCAAAACACACGATGACATGAGTGACATGATTGCAATCATTTCTGGCTGAACTGTTCCTTCAAAAGCTTCTCGTATCCTTCATGTGCATTTATTCCTCTCTGCTGTAACACGATCCCGTCATGAACGCCTCGACTCAATCTGACGGGCCGAATGCTGAAAATGGCCCATGATGTGATGTTTGAGAGCTAAAATCTATGTGCATTGATCATTTTCAGTCTCTGCAATGCCAGCGCAGAAAAACAACAAGACAAAACAGGAAATGGCCAGTTTGCACCAAAAAGGTTTGCATGGGAGTTTTAAGCTGCAAAAGCGGCACGAGTCACTGGAATGCAAACCGGGTGTGGGAATGATTGTGGGCCTTTGTAAAAAAAAAAAAAAAAAAAAAGGCAAAACCTTCCAAGAGTGGATTGATGATGTATAACTAAATCACTATGCATCACGCAAAGCAACTCTTTCAGCTGACAGACATTTAAAAGTAGGCATGCAATCTGATGAAATAACTAGAAATCACTGATGTCAGGGTTATGACAACACAACCACATTTACACATCAACACCATAACAGTCCATTTACATAAACATTTGAAGGTACAGCAGCGATTCAGAAACAGGCAAGAGGCTGGAAAATGATCTGATGAATCCTAACTAACATTAGTCATGTTAAACATTAGGAGCATGTAGACTAGTTGTTGATTAAAGAAAAGCCAGTGTAGTGTGTGAGAACATCTGTTCTCTTAATTAGCGACTGAGACAGTAGCTTGTTAAAAAGACTTTCATAAAGCAGCCGATAGCAGGTTTTCTGCCAAGTCGCAAGTTCCTCAGCAGAACAGAAAGTGAAACCGATCTGCTGCTTTATGTCTGTTTAAACTTTGCCCTCGGCAAGCACAAGTTGACTGAAATAAAAATCAACACACAAATCTAACAGAAACCTCAGATGACTTTCACTCAGTTTTGACAGACAGGGAGAGGATACCACGAGGAACAGACACACAATCTAAACTAAACCTGTCAATAACATGCACAGATCTGTGGAAGCCTGTTAAAATAAAATAAAATAAATGAAAAAAATAAAATACAATAAATAAAAATATAAAATAAAGAAATAAAAAATGTAATTAAATAAAAAAAAATGTAAAAATCAAAATAAAATACAATAAATAAAATTTAAAAGAAATAAAAATCAAATCAAATAAAAAGATGATAAAATAAGTTAAAAAAAATAAATAAAAAGGCAACCTTTTGTCTTGCAATTCTGGCGTATTTTCTTTACATTTCAAAATACTGTTAACGCACAGGATAAAAAAAAATAAAGGTAATTGCAAATTTATCTCACAATTCCAAGTTTTTTTCAGTTAACATCAGAATTGCAAGGGGGGGAAAGTCAGAATTGTGAGAAAGTCACACTTACCTTTTATTATTTTGTTTTTATTGTAAACTGTACAGAAAAGAAGCGTGAACTGCTAAATACTCGCATTACAATAGAGAATATTTAATTTAAACTCAAGCCAAATTTGAAGAAATTTGTTTCTCGCCTTCCACAATATATTTCAACAATACGGTCAATGCAGAAACACTGAAACACTTCCTGATAAACACAAATAAAGCCTTACCTGAATTTTGTCCTCTGGGACGTTGAGCCAGTGGTTAAACGCTTGCGAGAGTTTTGATCTGACTTGCTTTCCTAACAAAACCGAGAAAAGCAGGAGACATGACAAGAAATCCAAATTAGCTGCAGCTATTTTATTTCAGCTAATAACTAAAATAATTAAAACTAAATATTCTACAACTAATAAATAAAAATTGATGTAAACAATAAAATTTAAAACAACAATTACTAAAACGAACTAAAATTGAATGAAAATATAAAAATAAACAAAAAATTAGTATTAAAACAGGGTTATTACCATATAAAACAAAAACAAACAAACACTTTCTTTACTTGAAATAAACATTTAGATAAAATATTAAATACAAAAAAATAGACATTTTCAGCTAGTCTGAAGTACTTAAAACAAACTAATAAATAAAAAAAACTATATAGGCAAAAATGACAAAAGTACTCAAACTTGAACTGAACTGGAAAACAGATGAGATACTGCATATTTTATTTTTATATTTTCTAAGACGTTTATATTATAGTTATTATAGTTAACTAAAACCATTAAAAAAAATGAACGGCATGAAACAAGAATCAAGCAGTGGCTCAACTCTGAATGCAGACAAATCAATAGAAGTGTTTTTGCCTTTTAAAACACAAACTTAAACGCTGAAGCCTGCAGAGCTCTGATTATTCAGCAAGCGGTCTTCAGAACGACTATCATTCATCTCCCTTCATCTCCATTCATGAATGTTTTCCCTTCAGCTTCCTGTAACTCGAGTGAGTTAGGCTGCGCTGATCTAATGTTCCTCCTCCTGTTTCCCTCAGTTCAACTCCGTTTGTCCTCTAGTAATGATGAATCCATCAAGAACATGTCCTATTCACCCTCCATAATCAAAGAAAACGGACTAACTACTTCCAAAAACATCACAGAATGTGTATGCGGATTGGATCAGCCTCAAAATAGCACTTTGTGTAATTTTAGCTTAGAAAACACTATTTATGATATCATTGTATCATATTTTCTATTCCTGACAAATTGTATCAACGAAATTCTGACAAACTTTGGTTACAAAAAACTAAATTTGTAATTAATTTTATTAATTAATTGATTCATTTTGAATTGTTGTAATTTATTTTATTTCTTGTATTTATTTATTTTTATTTAATATCAATTATTAAAATTTAAATGACTTAATTTTAAATGAAATCATTAATTTTTCAGGGTTTCCGCGAGGTCTTAAAAACACTTAAATTTAGTTGCATTAAATTTAAGGCCATAAAAAGTCTTAAATTGTACAAGAAAGTCTTAATTATGATTTCAAGAGGTCTTAAATTTGGGGACGGAAAGACCAGAATTGCGATATGGCTCAATGTGACGATTAAACTTCAAAAGGCTTTGATTTGAATAAATAAACGAGAGCGCTGCACGTAAAAAGTCAGGTGCTGCGCTGCTTTGTGTTCTGCTGTTACTGGGGAAACTGTTATATTTCTACCAAACGCTCCACCTGCTGGCAGAGAATGAACAAGCATTTTCAATAAAACTGTTGTTTTGTTCAGAGTTCAGACAAATGCAAAAATCGACCCATGTTTTTACCCTGCAAACACGCAGAGCTTTAAATGTGAACTGGTGGATCGATAAGAAGACAATGCATTATAAAAATCTAAACAGTAGGGTGTGCGATAATATAGTAATTGTTGTTTTAATGATGTGCGAGTTGACATTATCGAGTATATTGCGAAAAGCAAACAAAACACACCTACAGAGTGCATGCATACATTACGTGAAGCGCATTTAGAGTGCGTTCTTTCACTGCATGATTCAGTCTATTAAAATTCACTTAGAATTCACATAATTCAAGATATGGGGCAGAAAATGTATATATTTCTATCATTTCATATAGTTAATATCACATAAAGAGTGCCGTTTTTTTGCTCCAAAAATCAGCTTGATTACAAATGAGTTTTTATACAACAGTTCAATAAACAAGAAGTTAATATTAAGAGACTTACGTTTTAGACACTATATTGCCTGTTTTTGTTCTATTTCTCCAACAGAAATAATTCCAAACACAGGCACAGCGCTGTTTTGCGTCTCTGAGTAACATGACAGTGTTTCGTTCCTGAATGAATCAACCGTTTAAATGATTCGGTTCAATCGCTGCATTAAACAGTGTGTAAATGCATCTAAATGACACTTCTAATGCAGCTTCTGTGTTTCCTCTGCATTACAAAGATCAATTTTGTTGATACTGATTTAATTTGCTTGGTAACAGCCCAAATGCAAGAATTTGACTCAAAAGATGGTGCACATTTATGGTGCACACAAGGTAAAAATGCCCATAAAACTTATTGGAAAAGATTAATTTCTATCACTGCTGTGAACTGACCAGCACACAGAATATGAAGAATATGAAAAACTTTAGGAGTCAGCTGTCCACGGTAGTCCTTAAGATACCAGCACAATAACACACTCAGCAAAATATCGTCTAATTATCATTATCGATAAAATCACAGAAAATATTGAGATATTATTTTTTGTCAATATCGCACACGCATACTATGGTTATACAAATTAAATTTGCATTATTTTATTTATTAATTTAATTTTTTGTAATTTTAATTTTAGAAATGTCATAAATTATTAAACATCAAATGACTTAATTTAAAATATCATTTAAATTTTTTTTTTTATTATTATTAAAATGGAAAAAACTTTTTATAATTTATAACCATTTCTTTACAGTAATGGGAATCACTATAAAGTAAGAAAAAAATACCAAGAGTAAAACATCAGGATTCACTGCATTAACGAGAGATCAAAATTCTTGTGATTCTGGGGTGAAATTTGACCTGAACATATTTTAATGAGATTCCTCCTTTAAATGGGAGTAAATGACCTCCTGGCATTCTTTCTCAATCTCTTCACATGTGCGTCTCTGTTTTCCCTTCACCAGCGCTGTCGAGTTTCAGTTCCTCAGTGATTTCTTCCCTGACCTCTGCATAAACTAGCCGAGAGGAGCGTCTCTGGGTTTGCGCATACGGTCACAAAAGACATCATTAAAATTGCAAGAGGACGATGGGAAAACATGCAGCAGAAGTATTTCTCCTCGCCCTCTCAGACTGAATATTAGAGGAGGAAAAACTCCTTCAGACTCAGCAGGGTTTTACTGTCGATACAATTAAAACACTCTCGCTTAAAGATAGGGCTGGGTATCGAGTTCGATACTTTTTAGGCCTCTTAATAGCCCTACTGTGTGTTAGACCTACCTGAAAAATTAAAAAGCAATTTATTTCATTTGTAGGCCTATCGTGATTTTTTTTTATTTGTGCTATCATTAGTAATTTCTTTATTTGTTCTTATTTTATTATTAACTGCTTAGCCTCCTTGTCATTTTTTTATTCAATTCAAAGTTTTAAATCAAGCTATCTCGTGCTACTGCAACAAAATTACCCAGCTGTAAAATCAAAACTTTGTTTAACTAGCTATCTCACAATGTTTACATATGAATAAGAGCCCACATTAAAGTCTGTCATATAAATTGGTCTCTTCATCAGAAATTAGCCTTCTGATTGCCACCATTGATGGACACATTTTTTTTAATAATATTAAAAATATCTGTATGGCATTATATTCTGCAGTTCTTCCCTGTTGTACCGAATATCTATACTTTTCAAATTATCATATCGAAGTTAGAAATTCAAATATTGTGACAAAATTAATTTTGTAGGGTGCCACAAGTTTGTTAAAATTTCCAAAGGGTGCCGCGACTAAAAAAAGGTTGGGAAACACTGCTTTAAAGAACCTTTGACTGAATGATTCTTTGTGGAACCTAAAAGGGTTCTTTTATGGCATCCCTGTGAAGAAACTTTGAAGCACCTTTATTTTTTAAGAGTGTAGAGATGGAAAGGGGAAGATTTAATTCTGCAAGACGGTAGGAAATTGAAGCAGTGGCAACCAAATTCTGTTACTGGTAATTTTATATATATATATTTATATATATTATATAACATATAATATAACATTTATGCATAATTCAAAGTTTTCATGCAGTTTTCATTACAACATTCAGACAGAGCTATTATAGTTAAATAAAACTAAATCTAAAACATAAAAAAAAAAACTTGTTACTTGAAATAAACATTAACCGAAATAAAATATGAAATACATTTTCAAAGTAGACTTTTTCAGTGAATTTCAAGTACTAAAATAACAAACTAAAACTAATAATTTCTAAATTACAAGAATTTCAACTAAAAATAGAAGTCTACACTGCAACAAAATACATTTCTATATAGTTTATTAATTTGTAATAAAATAATAATATAAATGAAATAATAAAAATGACAAACACAACAAAATACTTGAACTAAAATTAAAATGAAAACAGAAAATATAAAAATAAAACCTGCAGTATCTTATCTAAGGAGTTTTCATTTAAACATTTATAGTTAAATAAAACCATAAAAACGGTTTTTACGTGAAATAAACGTTAACTGAAAATATGAAAAAAAAACGATATGTTATAAAAAAAATAAAATAAATAACTGACTAAAATTAAAATGAAAACAGAAAATATAAAAATAAAACCTGCAGTATCTAATCTAAGGAATCTTCATTAAAACATTTATAGTTAAATAAAACCATAACAACGTTTTTTACTTGAAATAAACGTTAACTGAAAATATGAAAAAAAACCTGTATATTTTATTAAAAAAATAATAAAATTAAATAACAATGACTAAAATTAAAGTGAAAACAGAAAATATAAAAGTTAAATCTAACTCAAAATGTTAACAAAAACTACAATAGTATATCAATGATACTAAAATAACACTGGAGAGTAAAAGACGACTATTTTACAGAAAAATTACATGGTAACATAATCGCACAAAACGACTTGGAAATATAAGCCTACACTATAGTAAGGTATCATACTGAGTAGAGATGCACCGATCGATCGGCCAGGGATCGGAATCGGCCGATTGAATAAAAACTTACTTAACCTGAAAAACTTAGTTTCATAGCTCTCTTTATTCTATTGCATTTATTTGTGCTGTTGTTTGCAATTTTTTTTATTTTTGGTCTTATTTTATACCTGACTTTTTACTTGTTTTTTTTATGAAAATAAAACTTTGCGTTGAAGAAAAGTAGATTTTTGTTTGTATATGCTGTCAATTATAGTTCTTAGAAAGAAAATCGGTATCGGCAAAAATCGGTATCGGCAGATCACACTAACGAAAAATCGGAATCGGCCAAGAAAATTGCAATCAGTGCATCTCTAATACTGAGTAGACAGTGGGTTACTACTAACGCTACAAGCTACTCCAGTGTCTAAAAGGACACAAAAGCCATGAGGAACAAATCAACCCATCGCAAATAGTCCTTAACAGCATGTGACTTTTACAGAATCTAATATGTGTCCTTTCACTAATTCCTGTCAGCTTGCAAGATGCTTCATGAAGCGACAGCAGGAGCAGCTAATAATAGACACGTGATATTGTCATTTATTGTGCATTGTGCTGACTGCAGACTTCCTGTGATTTATAGGAGGATGATGCTTCTGCCACACAACGGCTAGCTGACATCAAATGTCACTGATGTCCATAAATGCTCCATAAATCACTGGGCAGTTTATAGGGCTGTAACAATATATCCTGTCACAATACAAAACTGCAACAATACGCATCGTGGATCGTTTATTCAGAATGAAAGTTTAGACGGATTTAATTTAGCATCATATTTGGTAATCGCACATAAAACGTGTCGAACCAAGAAAGTCACACATTTGAGCTTTCCTGTTGATTATTATTTAACAACGAAAAATTAAAATGCATTATTTGATAAAATACAACTTTTATAATTTACACATTTATATTATATAATATTTATAATTTACTAATATTTCTAAAATACAATATTATACCAAATATGTTAAACCCAGAAGGTCACACATTTGAGCTTTCATTTTCATTTAAAAAAAAAAAAAGCATTATTTAATAAAAATGTGTTTATAATTTACAAATTTCTAAAATTATTTATAGAATATTTATGTTTATAAAATACTATATTGGATCATGATGTTATGGTAAACCCAGATCACACATTTGAGCTTTCATGTTAATTATTATTAATAAATTACAAATAAAATGCATTATTTAATCATATATAAATTTGTAAATTACAAATAAACATGGTAAGAAATAATTATACAATATTTATAATTAACAAATATTTATGAAATACAATATTTATGCTTTTTAAATGCAGAGTCAAAGTATATGTTAGTAATATAATTCTGCATTTTTATCTAAGCAGAATCATGAATATTTATGTTCTTGTTAATGAACAGAACCATTTGAACTACTTTGGCTGTTTAAAGTATTGTGAGAGTATCGTATCGTATCGTGAGTATTGTGTAACATACCGAATCATTGACGTGTGTATCGTTACACCTCTACGATTTTAAAAACATTCTCTAATGCTTGTATCATTAAAACATGTTTACAACCTCATACTAAACTCAAAGACTACATAAATTATTTATACTTTTACCAAATAAAATGTTATTTTTACCTTTTATTCAAATAAAATCTTGATGTTTGGAAAAACGGTTCATGTTGTCAACAACACAATTATTAATCATTTTTCATCTTTTAAGTCTCATCGTAGGAAAGTTTATATGGGGACAATAATATACATCAAGCAAAACAGGTAACGTTTTATCCAAAAATTAAAAATTGTCATTTTTTCGCCCTAATGAATTATTTTTCTTCTGTAATAAAATGTTATTTTTACCTTTTATTCAAATAAAATCTTGATGTTTGGAAAAACGGTTCATGTTGTCAACAACACAATTATTAATCATTTTTCATCTTTTAAGTCTCATCGTAGGAAAGTTTATATGGGGACAATAATATACATCAAGCAAAACAGGTAACGTTTTATCCAAAAATGAAAAATTGTCATCATTTTTTCGCCCTAATGAATTATTTTTCTTCTGTGGAATGAAAAAAGATTAAATTTGGAAGAATGTCATGTGTTTTTTGCATACGATGAAAGTCAATGGGCATTAATGCTATTTATTTCTCAACATTCAAAACAAGTCCAACAGCTTTTGAGGGCAAGTAAATAATGACAGAATGATAAATCTCTTTAATGACAAACCAAATCCCATGTAACCCGAATCAGAGAATCCTATAGGCTGTATTTTCACTTTGCTACTTCAAATTAAAGCAGGTTTTTTCAGCTGTTAGTGTTGACTCTTGCCGAAATTGTGGACAGAAACACTTTGCATAAAAAGTTCCATTCAATTTAAAAGAGTAATCAATATTAATTCAATTAATCCAGCTTAGAGCAGGTCAAAATAAAGTCATGCAAAATGTGGAAGCATTTCACTTTTTCAGCAAACGTCATTTGTTTCATTTAGGACTGCTGCATAATTCTGTAATAAACTACCGTAGTACAGTGAACTCGACTCATTTCATTATAAAATCCCATTTCATCTCCATAAAGCACTTTTCCTCCAGCGAAGCCATTCTTAAAATATAATTTAACCTACATTTCAGACAAGACCAAGCCAAGCTATTAATATCCAAGACATTCAGCAACATTAAAGCAAAAATGAAACGTTTTCTCATGTTGTTCCAAACCCATATGACTGACTTTCTTCTTTAGACATAAAAAACAATGTCAATGACAGTTCATGTGACCATGGCTATATTATTCTATGTGAATAAACTGTAAAAAAAATGTTCATGCACTATATTACAATTCTTCTGAAGTCCACTGAAATGTAGGTCTTTACTCACTGATAACCGCTTTCAACTTATTCATTTCACATATTCAAAATAGCTTACATTGTCAAACTATCAAATAACAACCTAAAAATGCAGTCTGTTTCTGTTCCAAAGTGAAGATTTTGTCAGTTTTTCCCTCATGCTCCACAGAAGAAAGTCTGTTTCTGAATGACATGGTGAGTAAATGCATTTGTATTTTGTGTGATCTATTCCTTCAGCACCACTGTACTGTACATGCAGCCAAAAATAAATGCGTAATGCCCTACAGATGCTCTCACCTGGCAGTTGTAACAAGTACTTGTACGGTTCCAGAAGAATCCTTTCAGAAGTTGCTCTTTCGTCTCCATCCATCCCTCCGTTTCTACAAAGAAACCTGCTGAGAGAGAGAAGAAGAGAGAGAGAGTAAACCCACAGCCTCCACGGAAGGTGACAGCTCAGGATTTTCTCTTGTATCTAAACGCTCGACGCATTCGTGCCGCAGCGACTTCATAACAGCCAATTATTCCTTTCCGAGTTGTCATTAATTTGATTTGCTTTACTTCCTGGTAAACTGCTAACATTATGCATGCGGTGTCGGGAAGCTTTGGGGTTTTCCCACAGTAAGCAGGGCTTCATTTTTTTTCCAGAACAAGTGGAACCTATTTTAGTGGACCTCAATTTAATTTACTTTTGGAAGAAATGTATTACGTTTCATGAAATGTAATATCCTACACTACTGGGGTCAGTAAGATTTTCCTCTGCTCCTCTGCTCACCAAGGCTGCATTTATTTGATTAAGAAATAGTAAAAATTGTGAAATACTTTTACAATTTAAAATAGCTGTGTTTTTATGTGAATATATTGTAAAATGTAATTTATTCCTGTGATCAAAGCTGTATTTTCAGCATCATTCCTCCAGTCTTCAGTGTCACATGATCTTCCAGAAATCATTCTAATATGCTGATTTGCTGCTCAAGAAACATTTCTGATTATTATCAATGTTGAAAACAGTTGTGCTGCCCAATATTTTTGTGGAAACCGTGATACATTTTATTTTTCAGGATTTTCTGATGAATAGAAAGATCAAAACAACAGTGTTAATTTGAATATAGAATATTTTGTAACATTACAAATGTCTTTATGATTAATTTAATGCATCATTGCTAGGGATGCTCATTTCAACCAGTTAACCGTTAACCGATCACAAGAATTTTGACTGATTAATACAATCAGTTAAACGGTTTAAAAAGTCATTTATTAAATTTTTTTTTCATCAGTAATTTATCAAAATATTTAAAAAGGTTTGCTG